AAGAAACTACCATAAGGCCTTATACAATGCAAGGTGCTTGGAAAAATAAACCAGGTTTTTCTTAACCATCGGTGCTTATTTGTATAGGGCAGACGCTTAATTAGACATGTCTTCTGTAGAAATAAGCATTGGTGTTTCAGAAAAATCCGTTTTATTTTTCCGAGCACCTTCCTAAGCACCTAGCATTGTACAATGCCTAATATGCAAGCGAACCATGGCCAATGACAGGTTGAAAGAATCACCACCAAGAGGTACATTCCATAAAAAGGCTCTAGATGCCCTAAATATTTTTTTACTTCATTTTATTCGGTGAATTGATCGATATTTTGGTACATTCCATAAAAGCCAAAGCTCAAAACAGTATGAGACTAGCCACGATGGAGAGTAACATACTACCTCCGTCCCGGTGTATAAGTCATTCGCGTAGTTCTAGGTCGATAATTTAACTATCTAAATATGTATTATATGTGACAAAAAATATATATTTAGAAACTACATCCGTGTGGAAATCTAGTGGTATACTTTTCATGACATATAACACATATTTAATTCCTCAAATCGATGACCTAGAACTACGCGAATGACTTATACACCCGGACGGAGGGAGTACACTAGTAACATACACATATCCCTAGACTGTTACTACTCCCTCATTTCCGGTTTATAGGGCTCGATTCAAAAATCTCACCAACTAAGATAGATGATGAGTGGTGGAATACTTATCGTAATTTGCAAAAGTACCCAATTAATGCTCTTGTTTTTCCTAAAAAATTATGTTACCAATGTATTAGTTGCAATGCATGCATGCATAAAGTATATGCATTGGTCAATTTTCTCTTAATACTTGCATGAAATAATTTAATACACCCTGAAATCCAAACTTGTGATGGAGAACAACCAAATTAAGCCTTATAAAATAGAAAAAACTAAGATTTTGAGATAAGCTCTATAAATCGGAAAGGAAGGGGTACCTTCATAATGGATAATAACATAAGTACGGTAACATGTAAAGCCTCATTTATTAGGTTATAGACTCATATTACATTGGGACATGTGATGTTACAGTAACTAGCTAAGTTACTCAAACTACTTCTCTCTTCGTTAACTCATTGCCACATAAGTAAATTTGCTGAGTTGGACTCGATGTTACTGCTGAAATTCCTTCTGCTGTGGCTAGTTGCGGAAACCGTAAAAACCGTAAAATTGGTTCGATTCGATTTATTATCGGCACGGTTTTTCAATATAATGATTTTAAAATGCACAGAGTGAGTGGTCCACAGCCAGCCTCGACCACCACCACCTGCTCTCACCTCGCGTCTCGTGCACACGCCCCTCTCTCGAGGCTACCACTTGTTGCAATCTCAGCGGGCATCGTAGAGCACTCGAAGAGCCGAGCGAGCGAGCGAGCAGACGCTCTGGCTCTGCCGCCCGGAGACTTCAAACCCATCACTTCTTCCTCGCCTTCCTCGCACCCCCTTTCCCAGTTCCCAAGCGCGCCCTCGCACGCGAAAATAATAATTCTCGAGTCAGTGAGCCTAGCTAGGGTCGAGTCCCGGCTGGGGATGACGAGCCCTCGCCGGCGATGGACCTGCCGCTAGCCCTCGCAGCTCTAGTCCTCCTCCTCCTCGTGCTCCTCGCCGCCCCGCCGGCGGCGCTGCTCATTGCCCTCCACCTGCGCCGCCGCCGCCGCAGCCTCCGGAGGCCCCGGCCAACGCCGCCCGAGCCGGCGGCCGCGGCGCTCGAGCCGAGCGCGCCGGCCGAGGAGGACGAGGGCGGGGAGGAGAAGAGGCGGCGGCGGAGGGCGCGGCGGAAGCAGCAGCAGCAGAAGCAGGGCGGCGACGGGGCCGCCTCGCGGGCGGCGGGCGGCGGTGGGGACGGCGCGCTGCCGCCGCGGCCGCGGTTCCCGCTCGCTTCGGTGGCCGGCGCGCTGCAGCGGCGGATCACCGCGCGGTACGACGAGCTCGCGCTGGCCAGCCAGGCCCAGTCCCTCACCATTGACCAGGTTGGTGGGTGCGCCCCATGCAATGCAACCCTTCTCGGCATCCATTAGCTTCCTTGCACCAGTGTGCTGAGCGTAGGATCCCTGCTCTGCTCCGATGGCAGGTGTTGCTGTGCTACCAAATGTGGGATTGGTTTGGTGCCCTCAACAACTGTCAAAACAGATAGCCCCTACTAATGTTAGAATTGGTGCTTGTTTCGATTGCAAGCTAGTATTGGAGTTTAATGGCTTTGATTAGAGAAGTACTCCTCTCCATTCCAAATTACTTGAAGTTCTATGTTCTCTCTATTCCAAGGAAGTTTGACTTAAGTCTATGGAGAACTATATCAACATCCACAATGCGAAATTAGTTTCACTAGATTCATCATAAAACATGTTTACATACTATATATGTTCAGTGTTATAGATATTAGTATCACATTTGTCTATAGACTTGGTAAAATATAAAGAAGATTGACATAGGACAAAATTAGATTCAAATAATTTGGAATGGAGGGAGTAAGATACCAAATGGGCTCCCATTGCTAGGTAGGTGCATGCTTCATCAGTCCATCTGCGACGGGATGTCGGTGTGCTGTTGGTTCTGCTAAATGCTTTGACTTGAATTTTTACCGCCAATGATAGTTAAATTATTATGGATTTTACGATGCTACTACAATGACACTGAAACCCATTCCAAAAAAATGGGCCCAGTTTTAGTAGTGGTTAATTGTCATAACCGTCAAATTGGGCTTTTGTCAGTAACTATGGCACATAATGCTGACATCCTTTTGTAATTACAGCCTGGCGCCATTTGAGTAACTGCATTAGCAGGGAATCAGTGGTTTTGTTGCTTCGATATGTTAAGTTTAATCATACTCAAAATGAAAACCTATTATATCCTTGTTGTGTGCCAATGTACACATATGGAACTATTCTAACAAAGTGTTGTCTTCCTAATAAACAACCTCAACTGACAGTTTTATTTCTTTGATTTGGAGGGCTGTATACGCAACTTGATTGTCAGAGGCTCAATACAATAGACAAAGGAAATGAGATTTTCCATTTTGATGGATTTTGATATAGTTATAACTTTCCGTAGTGGTAATTTTCCATAAAATACACCTTCCCCCAAAGCTCAGTTACATAGTTGCAATTTGAAAGAGAGAAAGCGGGGCAAGTGCCCCCTTCCTGCCCTGTGGTCCGGTTGGGGTCATGGGTTTTCCCTCCCGCCCAGTCGCAGGTCGGATAGGCGAGCGGCAAAAGTGTGTGCGTGTGGGGGGGGGGGGGATTTGGCGGATGTGGGCTGATTTTTAGAGCTCGCCGCCAAAAAAAATATGAGTCCGGCCGATATACGGTACCTGTTCGGGACGCTTTGTCATCCGGTAC